CCTCCACACACATACACAACCTGACCTGATTTTGCGTGGCAGGCTCCTTGGCGATCCCAGCACCGTCCATCTCGCTGTTGGGCCCGCACCCCAGCAGCCATGAGGATCCCATCTACATCGCATGCGTGGCCCCCAGTGACTTACGCGGCGCAAACTTCACACTGTACCTCGGAAAAGAGGAGGTCCAGCTCCTACAGGCCCCCAAGGACCAGTTCAGTGTCACCTTCAACTTGAGCGGCAGTAGGGGCAGTCAGGCCCCAGGGGACACCTTCCACTGTACGTACAGCGTGCTGGGTGAGAACAACCAGACCCAGATGTCGGACCCCAGCGAGAGCTTGCACATCACCTTCCCAGGTGAGCCTTCCCACTGCGCTGCTCCTGCCCACAGACCCCTCTGCTGGGACTCTGCATAAGAAGAGGCAGGTCAGACCCCACGCCTCGCCATGACTACTTTGCCATGACTGCTTTGCCCGACCTTTCTTAACCCACCTCCCCATGAGGTGGTGTGTTCTCTAGAGAAACAAAACCAGGACACATGATTTTACATATGGATATATGGTTAGATATATACAAAAGGAAGAAATAGACAGCTAATTAGTCCACAGGGCAGTACAGAGGGCTCAGTGCAACTCACTTCCGTGAGACAACTAATACACTGGCAGTTCTTCAACTCACAAGGGCTGCTGGGTGCAAGTCAAGAAGCAGACAGCTGAGTCCCCGGTAGAGCCATACAGGCAGTCCGACCACAGGCAACAAACAACAGGGTGGGTCACCAACAGTCAGCCATATGACAGGGTGCAACCGTCCCCTGCTCAAGTGATGTATACTCCAATGGTGTGGAGAAGCAGGCCTCGAAGGAACCTCAAACTATAGGTAACAACACGGTCCATGGGCTGGGCGTCCCACAGGTAGTGTAGCTAGCAAGTTGAGACAGAGACCCAGCTAAGGCAGCTGCACCGTGGTCTGCTCATCAGAAAGCAAGAGACAGAAAGGTAAGGCTCACTGAGCCATTTATCTCTCCGCCCTTCAATTAAACTATGACCTTATTAACCCCACATGTGTTTATTGGCCAGGCTGGCACAATCAACCTACCTATCAGAGGTGGGTAGGGAGATTCCCTCCTCATCTGGGCCCGAAGGGCAGAGGGCCTTGCTCAGACCACACAGGGAGCAGGTGGCCACGCTGAGACACTAGTGTCCCTCTGAAGTCTGGGCCACGCTAGACGGCACCCTGTGAGCACCTACTATGTGCCAGACACTGCAGTGAGAGAGACAGTCACCATCCCTGTCCTCCGGCAGGGGACATTCCCAGGTGCAACCAGGATCCCATAAATGTTCAATATGTGAGCAGGGACAAGGCAGGTGACAGGCAGAAACGGAGCCAGGTGAAGGGCCTATTTTGTGTAGGACGGGAAGCCCCTCAGAGGAGGGGACATTCATGAGAAGGAGCTGCCCTGTGGGATCTGAGCAAGAGTGGTCCAGGCC